CGCGTGTGGAAAGTAGAATTGCGCTCCGTCGGGTTTCGGGGGGCTGTTTGGGGGAGCAGGTTGCTCAGCGTCCGGGGCGCCTTTGGGCTGGTTGGAACCGCCAACCACGGCGGGGGGGGTGTCGGTGTATCGTAGCCCAAAGCCCAGGACCGTTCGTGCGGCCGCCTCCCTAGTGATCACTAATAGTTTGTCGATCGACTTGCCTTTCAGGCTGCTTTATTGACGTGGGCTCGCATTCCTTGTGTGTGTGGCTTGGATTGCCCGCGTTTCCCATGGTTTTGTTGTAGCACGTGCACTGGGAGCTTGGAAAAGGTCGTGGGAACGCGGGATTAAAGAGGTGAAGGGATTATTTCCTTGCTCTTTGTGAGGCCCCTCTGGTGGATTGGCTGACTTCCGTTGTCAGTGCTCACCACGCCATGAATGAAGGTCAGTGTGTTGGACTGCTTTGGGCTGTTGTGGGTATTTTAAAAATTATTGCAGCGATTTTTAGTTTTGGCTCTTAAATGGCAGGTACTGCTAGAATTCTTACCTGTTGAAGAGGAAGCTTCCATAGCGTTCCCAGGGTGGTGGTTTTTAAAAGTAAAATTGTGCCGTAGTCTTGGACTTGAGAAAGATGATTTATATCAGCTGATGGTTTAACGTGTCTTTAAACAATTTATTGTTGTATTCATTTGGTTTTTCAGTGACAAGTGTGCTGTGGACCAGTTTTTATTTTTCTAATAAACCTTGTTTGGGGGGTTAACTGTTACAGTCCCTGATTGGGTTCGCAAAACCCACTGCTTCTGCATTGATTAGCGACCTAAAGAAGGGTATCCCGAGGCCTACAGCCAGCACTTGATAGCCTGATCTTCTGCCCAGCATCTGGGGAGGCTCCTGTAAGCTACCCAGCCCTTGTGCCACAGCGTCATTGGGGCCCCTCAACCCAGTGCCCAGATGGTATGTAGTAAATGTATCTCAGTGTTTCATTTCTGAAGTAGTCTTCCCCTCAATTTGTACTGGTTCCTGCTCTGGGGAAAGAAGAGGCTACATGAGTCCCCTCTTATGTAGGGTTTCACTCAATGCCTGTGGGATTTGGGGTTCTTGGGAGGGAAACTTGGTGAATGAAGGGTTGGAGAGGTGAGTGTTTCAAGGGTACTTTTTTCCCCAAAGGGTACTTTTTTTTAAAAAATGGCTTTTTATATTTTTAATAACTGCATGCATGGCTGAGGTTTTTAAAAGTTGATAAAAGGGCTGGAAAATGGGAATTCAAAAGTGCTTGGATTTGCACACAATTGTTCTGAAGCCCCTTTGTGTATCAAAACCTTTGTTTAATTCAGCATTTTTTTTTTTAATAAAATTGGGTCTCTTACTGCTCTTGTGACAATCCATACATCAATTGCATCAAGCACATTTGTATGTGTTGACATTATTTTCTTTCTACTTGAGCCCTTGGTAGCAACTCCCTTTTTTTCTCCCCCCTCCCCCACCCTAATTGAATATCTTTCAATGTACAATTTAGTTATTGGATTACCCATCACCTTGTGCATTGGTTTCCTGCTTTTATTCCACAGCCCTTAACGAAAACTAAGCAAATACCCATCTCTATTCTCCCTGACCCTAGGAAACCATACAGAATTTCCCACTTAGTACTTTAAAGAATTTCTCTCAGATCTGTATGGTAACGGACATTTTGATTAATGATTACTGTTTTATACTTTTACTTTTGTTACAGAAATGCATCGTGATTCCTGTCCATTGGACTGTAAGGTTTATGTAGGTAACCTCGGAAACAATGGCAACAAAACCGAATTGGAACGAGCTTTTGGGTATTATGGCCCACTCCGAAGTGTGTGGGTTGCTAGAAACCCTCCCGGCTTTGCTTTTGTTGAATTTGAAGATCCTCGGGATGCAGCCGATGCTGTTCGAGAGCTGGATGGAAGGTAATTTAATGTAAGGAACTGTCCCTTAGATTTATTTAGATTCTATCTGCTGTAAATGACTTTTTGTGGACTGTCAAACCAAATTGATGTTACTGGGGATTTACTTGGTCCTTTTCTGTAAAGGGGTCCCTAGGCAATTGTGAAAGTGGGGAGGAAAAGTATTTTTTCCCAGCAGGCCATTGAAGGAAGGTTTAATGGTAAATCCAAAGTCTTTTGGGGTTTTAAATAATGGGAGTGGCTGGGTTATAAGCTAGCCGATAATTTTTATAGATTCATGATGGTTGGTATCATAAGGGCTTATTTTTGCGTTTTTTTATAAAAGGTATAATAAGGCTTTATGAAATGGTACTGTTCAGATTGCAGAAATGGGAAACATGCAATGAATTAACTTTAGGCTGCAAGCTAATGGAATGGCAGGAAGAGCTGTTTTTCAGTACTCCCACAGATAGAAGATGACAAATGCGTAAGAACCTCTATACCAGATCGGGGACACAACAAACGTAGCTGATGCAGGAGGATTTTTCAGAAAAACTACATGCATTAAGTCCCTTATTTAAGCTGGCTCTTATAATGAATCAGTTAAAAGAAGTGGGTTTTTTTTGTGACTAGTACTTTCAAAAATAAATTGCTTTAAATTTGGTTTTAAATAACATAGAATCAATTCAACTTACACATCCTCAAAATGGTGTCAAAAGGATTGAGTTGGAAACAACACAATGGTAACTTAAATGTGTTTGCTGCTTGTTAGGGACTTTGAAGTAATATATTGAGATTTTATTATTGACCCTTCCAGAACACTGTGTGGCTGCCGAGTGAGAGTAGAGCTGTCAAATGGTGAAAAAAGAAGTCGGAATCGCGGCCCACCTCCCTCTTGGGGTCGTCGTTCTCGCGATGATTATTGGAGAAGGAGTCCTCCACCTCGCCGCAGGTACTTGAGGGAGTTGTGTTTAAAAGTGTAGTGGCCTGTTTCTCTTAAAGTATGTTGATGGATTTTTGAACTCGAATCTGAGGTTTTTATGCAGCACTGTGCTGGGCAGTAGATTCGGGGTATGCGAGTTGTGCTGAGTGTTGGCTTTTTTGTCTCTAGCGCACTTCATGTTGGTAGTTCATAACTTCTATCTTGGATCTGTCTTCTAGCTCATCTTCAGTAGTTGCATCTTTCCAAGTCTTCCCTTGTACTTCAGTTTAGGCCTTTTTCCATTTCTTGACTCTATAAAGACCAACATTACATTCAATTCTAGTTCTTCACAAAAATGTGCTTTCTACTATTAGCAAGATTGTAATATTTATGAAACAGACAACTGTTTTAATGTTACAACTGGTAAAGTAGAAATCCTTCTGAAACTAAAGCCACTGACCAATGAAGGGGGCTAAAAAGTATTCCCAGTCACCTGTTCCTGAAACCTAAATAGGAGAGGATTCCATGGTGGTTTTTTGTTGTTGTTTCTTGTTTCATTTTTGGTTGTTGGTTTTTTGTTGTTGGTTTTTTTTCTCCTCTTTTTCTTTTTTTCCCCTTGTAATTGAAAATGGCATCATCCTTGAACCAGGCAGTATTGTCTGGGTGCTAACTCCACATTTCCTCAAACCTCCAAAATAATTTCTGCAGGACTGAATTTACCTCTTACCGGTGAGTGCAGTCCTAGGGGAAAGGAGTTCAAAATCTTGCCCCTTTTGCTGTTTTGGAAAACAACACACTGTTGCCCATCATAATAAGAGTATTTGTTAGCTGATAGATGGTTGTACTGATGGCTTGTTTTTCATTTTTTTTTTTTTTTGTGCTTTTTGGTCCATCTATTAATAAAAATGAACCCCGTTACAGAGTCACCATCATGTCTCTTCTCACCACCCTCTGAGTCTGCATTAGCCAGTCAACTACCCCTTTCAGCGTCATGTGACCAGCGCGCCCCATTCAGCTTGGCTGGTGTCGTTTCACATGACCCAGGCATGGCCAGTCGCCAGGTTGCACCGCCCTTTGGTTCCCGAGCATGCTGTTTTCTCTCAGCCTTCTCTCCAACCTTAACCAAAATCGGCAGCAGCCACCTCGACCGCCCACACATTCCTGGCCAATCAGCTCAGCTGTTTATTTACCAAATGTCTTCACAACAACTACAGCAACAGCCTTCGGCTAACCAAAAAGCAGGAAAAATCCACAACACCCCCTTCGCCAACCAACTAAATCCAACGCAACATCTGGCAAAACCTTTTCAGCAAATTCTTCCTGGCCGTCAGTCCGGCAGCCTCACCTCACCATTTCTAGCTTGTTGAAACCCAAAACTAGTAAGTTTTTCCTGCTTATACAGTTTACTGCTGGTTAAAATAAGGAGTAAGCGGCTTAAAGTAATTCTTTTTCTGGATCAAAGGCTGGCTGTGCATAATTGAATGGTAACGTACATATATATTGCTTGAATAAAACTTTTAAGGGTGATAGGGAACTCATAATGTAATTAGACTTTCCAGTGAAACTTATTTGCATGTGTGAGATGCCAAACTAAAAATTTTAATATATATCTAACAGTAAGCTTACCTTTCTAGCAGAAATTTGTTGAATCCTTATCACCTTTAAATGGTTTTACTAACAGTTTTCAAATTTTAAAAACAATTTTTGGGGTAAAGTGGGCCAAGCAAGCTAAGGTAATTTGGATAAGCCTAAGTACACCCTTAAATGTGACATCACAAATGCAGTTCTAATGTAGCACTTAATAAAGGCATCAGTATTTACACCTAGCGCATTTCCACAAAAGTACACCCTCCACCTGGTACCGAAGTCTTGTCATGGACTTCTGGGTTGCATGGGTTCCAAATACTGGCTTATGGTACTGTTTTGGAACTACTTGTGGGGACTACATTTTGGTGTGGTGTTTGGGTAGTGAGTTTAGTTTGACCTAAAATTTTGCATTGGACAGATCTGCTGTGAAGCATTCTTGATTAAAGTGAATCCATGGTTGGAATGACCTGCCTTTTTTCACTTTGAGCTTTTAGTTCCTTAATCTTTCCATGCCCTTTTGTTGTTGTTTTTTTTTTCACCTTTCTTTCCTTTTTAAAGTTTTGAGTTTGTTTTTTTCCTTTTTCTTTTTTTAAAACTTTTTGGACGATGGGTGCCAATCTTCGGCACATTCCCTGGGCCCAGCAGTTCAATTGAAAAGTTGGGAAATGGCCTCTCGCCATCAATAGTAATCGATGTGGCCTAATTTTCCCCTTTCTGCTTTCAGATCTCCTAGGAGGAGAAGCTTCTCTCGCAGCCGGAGCAGGTAAATCAAAGTGCCTTCTGTGGGGGCCAGATTCTCAGGAAGAAGAGCAGCTTTCTTTGTCTTCGCTCTTGGCAATTGGTGGGGTTATTGTGGAACAGGCCTTGAATAAGTGTGGCATATAAATCCTGGGTGGTTGATTTTCAGAAAGAATCAACTTAGCGTTTTTAAAAAGACTCGTTTAAAGGCCATTTTGTTGCTGACCCTAATTTTGGCTCCTTGTTTAGGTCCCTTTCTCGAGACCGGAGGAGAGAGAGATCACTGTCTCGGGAGAGAAATCACAAGCCGTCCCGCTCCTTCTCGAGGTCTCGTAGGTAAGAAAGATCTCTGGTGATGCAGATCATGTAAATATAAAACATGTCCCTCAAAAGAAGCCGTTTCAATGACTGCTGTTTTGTTTTATTTCTTAGCCGATCTAGGTCAAATGAAAGAAAATGAGAAGATGGAGTTGCAGACGGAGTGTAGTGTGTACAGGAAATGCATCATTTGACAGGAGTGTACAGACAAGTCACGTTGTATTTGAGTCTTCAGAAGCCTTGACTTTAATCCCGAAGACTGTTTGGTTTATACATTGTTTAATTTGAAAGCCTGTTTTTCCCTGCAAAACTCAGATCTGTAAGCTTGGTTACCAAGTCCAAGTATAACATTCCTATTGGAAGCCATACTTATATATTTCCTTGTAAAGTGCTTTTGAAGTAATAAAATGTTAGCATAATGTGTAGACTAGTCAGTTGAATCCACTACCACGGTTTTTGTCCATGAAAGATGGTTATATTATTTTCTGGGAAACATTGGGTTAATCTTTGGAGTGAATTTTAGTTGTCACCCAAATGATTTAGTAGTTAACTGTTTGGTAAAAAACAATTCAGGGTCCACTATAAAGTGAACCACCATTATTTCTAGGCATTTAGTTACTTAGAGTACATTGTAACCAAGTAAGTTGCCCATTACATCTCAGTTAGCATGAAAACTTTTGTTTTTTTTTAATGGCTTCAATTCTGCATAATTTTGAGGTGTTGCATGGAAATTCTGAACTAATCCATCATGATGTAAATTTTCACATGGTTCAAATGTAAAAGTGAAGAAACGAATAGTATGGAGGCATGCATAATCTTCCTCTTAAGATTTAGGAACTGTAATCACATTTGTGTGCTATTAGATTAAATCAAAATGCAACAGTTTTGTGGCTTAGTTTTGTTTAAATGTGCTCTTTCAAGGTAGCTTGAGTTTATGCTATTTTGACTGTCTTTAGTAAGACATGAGTCATTGCATTGAGTTCATAAGGGTTTTTGAAAAACAAATAGAATCTGCAATTGTCCTCTTATCCTTGCATGCAAATCTGAGAGGAAAGTTGGTGTCAGACTGCTGATTTATTGGGAGCTCTGGCTTGGGGACCTCTGCTCTTGCAGTACTTTCTCATATCTAAATATCCCATATTTTAGGAGAAAGCCAAGGTGAGAAAGTACAGAAAGACCTCAGTAGGTTAAATCAGTGCTTAATTTACTGGTATGAAATGTGTTTGAGAGTTTTTCTTCAGTATACAAATTCAGTTCTCCATCAAAGTGCTGAGAGGTTACTGATAGCAGTCAAATTCCACCTAAAGCAGACTAAGGGTTTAAACTGGTTTAAATGTTACCACGAATGTTATCTAGGGTAATCACAATTTGTTGTAGGAAGGTTTCTTCTATTGGCAGAAGAGGGATTGAAAATGACTAGGCCAGCGCTTATCAATGATGTGATCCATAGGTGGTATCTCACCCTCTTTTAGATTGCTGTAGGCAGGGTTTTACATATACTGATGCATGCCTGGTTGGGAAATTTCTTGTGTGGTAGAACTCTGGGTCAAGAATAATGCTGATCATTATGCTTTGAGCAGGACACACATCTGCTCCTAGGCACATAGGCTCAGTTTTCTAGGGTGGCTTGCCCTGCGGCTACTGGTGTACTGGTTACTCATTGGGCTACATACACGTTCAGTAGTTAAAACCACCAGCATCTCCAAGGGAAATACTGGCCTTTTTACTATAAGCCATTGATGTCTCAGAAACCCATAAAAGGGGTAGGGGAGTTGCTGCAAGTCAGCACTGACTTGATGGCAGTTGGTTTGGTTTGGTCCCTTGTCCCTCAAATTTGGAAAACATCCCAAGTGATGAGAGGACAAGCCATTGGCGTAGTATTGTCTTAATGTGCTTTTATTTTCAGACTCCTGAAATACCTAGTTGGTAATGCTTCAATTTGTTTCTTGTTCCACTGTGGCCTCCTTTTTTTTTTTTTTCCCAAAGTGTCACGTATTAAAATACCTGAGGAATGACATAAACCTGGTAGGAGTATAATTCTGTAGGTAATTATTGGATACTTTAAAAACTCATGCACTTGACGGTATGGCAAGGATCAGAAAGGGGATGGCATAATGTGATGTGTCTGAGGCTGCATTATTTTGTTAACCGTTTGCTTTGCTGGGATTGTAGGAATTTGAGATATGAGGTATTTCTCGACTTTTAGTGGGCCTAGTTAGTAACTGTAGTACAAGAAAATAGGCAAAATATTAGCCAAGCACACGATACCGGTGGTCTGCGGCAAACCACACTTAAAAAGGACTTTCAGGTACGTTTTTGAATCGTGTGCTACTTAAATGTTACCATACATCATATGTTGTCATAGCCAAGTTTAATGTTTCTTACTCCCTAAAGACAGGTAAGATTTATAAAGACTTTGATAATAGTGAAGTCTTGTTTTTTAAAATGCTACCCTGCTTAAGTGAAGCTTTTGGTGGGGTCTTAAAATGGTGATTACTTCTACTTCATTATACTTTTGGTATAAGACTGTCTTTCAGAAGAGTCTAGGTATGAATGATCTGAGTTCATTTAGCACTGGGTAGCCTTGCCAACATAAACCTTTAGCACTTACTGGTTGCAATAACATTCTTTAGTGACAAGTTTTTATTTGCAGACAAGTCCAAACCAAAGTCAAGAGGCAATGCTGAAGAACCCTGAGTGCTTTTCTTCTAGTGTTCTTTTTGGTGGAGAAAGGTGTGTTTTCTATTTTCGTGGATCATTAGAAAAGGACATTGAAGTCATATAAGAAAGTTTAAAATTTTTTCTAAGCAAAGCCTTAGCCTTGGGCATCTGAAATTTATTTTTTTTTCCAGTTGGCTCTCTGCCACCAGAATTGCTTTATAAAATATTACACACGCCTATTCAATGAGTAAATTTTAAGTAGCTGTAAACTAGAATGTTGACTTGTGTTTTGGTCACGCCTTCTCCATGACAAATATCTTGAAGGAGTGGGATACCAAGAGGAAAAGACTTCATTCACTCACAGGCTAGTTTAGGCCGCTGTTTTGACCTTTGTTTAATCACTACATTTTATTATCTCCAGATGTTTTGAACCTGGCATTATGCTTCTGTGAAGATTCAAAAAATAACGACTCATAACCACCCTTTATAGCATGGATTCTCAACCTTCCTAATGCTGTGACCCTTAATATAGTTCCTCATGTTGTGGTAACCCCCAACCATAACACTATTTTCGTTGCTACTTCATAACTAAATTTGCTACTGATAGAATTGTAATGTAAGTATATTTGCAGGATGTATTTTCATTGTTACAAATTGAACATAGAGCCTAGTGCTTACTCACAAAACTATATAGTTATATATTTTAAATATTTGTGTTTTTCTATAGTCTTAGGTGACCCCTTTGAAGGATCATTTGACCCCTTTGGGTATTTTATGGGAGCACATATACCTTGTTTGCTTCGTTGTGTTTGAATCATTTACCTTCCGGTTAGCAATTCACTTAAAGCCCCACCAGGGCAGCTCCTATAAAGATTACAGCCAAGGATAATCAAAGCAGTTTTGCTTTGTCAAAAGCAGTCATTACAAATCTGACTTGGCGTCATTCGTATATAAAACAGTCTGTGCTGGTAAGCATGTACTGGCACTGATTGGGTCTCCATCTTCACTAATGGACAGGATTTGGGGTTGTGACTAGTGGGTATGGTCGAGGTATTGGCCCCTTTGGAATAAGAGTTGAACTTCGGATGAGGAATAGTGAGTGTGAAACTTGGCCCTTTTTTGGCTTTCTAAAATTTACTGCATTGTTAGGGACAGTTTAGCAGCCTTGATACTCGGCTTGAGCTACCATTCTCAGTCGTTGAGTGCTGCATCCACAGAAAACTTCTTGCCCTCACTGGTTCCTATTGTGCCCTTTTGAGTTGCTGTCTTCACACTTTTATAAGCATATTGTTTAAGGAAAGCTTTAAACTACTTAAGCCAAACTTACTTGGCTTTAAGATGTCGGGAATCGTTTCTGCTCTTGATAGATCCTCTATGACTCCAAAGCTATACTTGGAGAATATGAAATTGTTCTATATGTGACCTGTTTGGTCAAAATTCTGAGTGTCTTAAAGACTTGAAAACAAAGTTTTGGATCAGAATATCAAGTAATCTTAGTTGGGTGCAATCAGTTATGTTAACAGACCATGAAGCAATTAACCATATACTATTTCCTCCTATTCATTGCTGCAGTGTGAATTGTGCCTTGGCTGGGCAGCTTGCAAACAACAAGACCCACTCCTCCACCCCTGGGCCTGTTGACAGGAGTTCTGTGTGCCATCAAAGGGATTGGCAAAGCTAGCAGAAAGATCATGCCTTGAGAATGCATAGTGTGAAACTGGTCAAAAGGGGTTGAGGCATCCCTGGCCTTTGCCTCAAACCAGCCTTGGGCTGACATTGACTTAAATTCTCCCCCCTTGTAAAGTCTGAGGAGGTACTTCTGCCACTACTCATTCTAAAGGAAGTGAAGGGGGTGAGTGGAAGTCTGCTGTAGAGGCTATAGTAATTTAAATACACTTAATCCTCACTTGTCAATTATCTAACATTTTGCATTTCCAACTGGGAAAAAATTCTACCATTTGCCCATTGACAGTATGTGCTGAGGTGTGAGGCAAGAGTAACACTGGCTGTCACTTTTAAGGGTACATGCCAACTTGGGCTGGCCAAGATTCCCAGTGATTTGACAAGTTATGAAAATTTGGCAATGGTTTAACGGTAGAATTTGGCAGTTATGTAGTGATGTAATCATCCAATATGTAATGTAATAGAGTTATCCTCCATTTTACTTATCTAATGCCAATTTGTTACAACCTGCCCTTTGGAACATAACCATGTCAAGTGAATGAACAGTGAGTGTATTCAAGAGCCTCCCATGTAAAACATTAAAATAATCTCACTCCAGCAATAATAGCAAAAAATATTGCTGATGGAAATACAGACTGGACCACTCATACATCGCTGATAACGGCTGTGAAATGGCGTAACCACTTGGAAAATGGTATGGCACCTACATTTGGAATGAAAAATAACTGATCCAGCCATCCCACTATCCTAGAGAAATGGGAGCAGTGGCACAAATAAATGCATGTCCATCAGCATTCTTCACAAGTAATCCAAAGGCCCATCAACAGATAAACAAGCTGGTATATATATATATATACACAGTGGTATACATCAAAGAGAACAAATGGGGGGTGGGGATACCTCAGCTTGGGATTTAGAGGAGATGAGTAAAAACAGAACAATTATTAACCACTGCTGCTAAAAGGTTTGTGCATAGAAATTCTTTGAAGGTGACCAGGGGTGTAGGGAGGGACGGTAGATTTGGTGGGCACATAACTGATGAAAGATGTATACATCCAGTGAGCGTGATGCAGTGATAAAGGGAAAAGGGCAAGAGTTGAAAAGTTAAATGTGATTATATCCACACTCCTACAAAAGGCCCTCAGTAGATACACATTCAGTCCCCAAGTTGAACATGCCTGGAAAAGCAATTGGGAAAATACCCAGGAATATGTGTGTGCTACAAATCTATCCATGAAACTTGTAAAGTTGGGGGAGGTTAGATGCTTGTAGGCATCCTCCCCAAGAGGGCAATCAGTTGCCAGACTGCAGTGGGCCCCACTCCCTGCTGATAAAGACAATGGACAGGCCTGCCTTCATCTATTTGGTTTCTGTAGGTGGGGTTTACACCCTGCTGATGGTTCCTATGGAGATACAGAGAACAGGTCAAGGTTAAGCTGCCATCCTAAATCTAGGATCCACCCATCTTGTCACTTGTATACCCTCCCAGTCCCTCTTCCTGTTGTGTTTATGTCCCTAGACCACCCACTCTCTGCTGTAT